TGAGCACTCAGGGTTGATTTTCTTCAAAATGGACAGCTTTGCTCTCCTTGCAGTCCAGGGGACTCTCAAGAGGCTCCTCCAGCACCACTATTCAAAAGCATCAATTCTTCAGTGGTCAGCCTTCTTTATGGTCCAGCTCTCACTTCCATACATCACTACTGGAAAAACCATAGCTTTGACTGTGCAGACCTTTGTCGGCAAGGTGATGTCTCTGCTTTTTAAGATGCTGTCTAGGTTTCTTACCACTTTCCTCCCAAGAAGCAGGAGTCTTTTAATTTCGTGGCTGCTGTCACCATCTGCAATTATCATGGATCCCAGGAAAGTAAAACCTGTCACTGTCTCCAGATTTTCCCCTTCTATTTGCCAGGAGGTGATGGGACCATGGTGATGGCCATGATCATTTTTTTTTGATGTTGAGCTTCAGATCATTTTTGGCGCTCTCCTCTTTCACCCTCAGTAAGAGGTTCTTTAATTCCTCCTCACTTTCTGCCATCAGAGTGTTATCACCTGCATATTTATTTATTTTAAAGAACCTCTTAAGGAATTTGACCCAACTTCCGGAGGCAGTGGAAGACAGGAGGGCCTGGCGTGCTCTGGTCCATGGGGTCACAAAGAGTCGGACACAACTTAACAACTAAACAACAGCAAAATGAAATGTACCCATTCATTATCGCTGGAAGTCAATTAACATGTTGAACTGCAAAGTGCTATTAAGCAAAAGGACATCCACTGAAAATAGTGATGAAATCAAATGGAAATAAATTCCAAGTACAGAACTACTATCAACGTAAAACCAATTTTTAATGTTTCAGTAAGAACAAATGGGTGAATTGCCTTTAGCCATGTAAGGCTGCAAGACAATGTATACCTGCTTTAGATTAAATTCCATTGACTACAATGGAAGAAAATACAGTGGTGCCTCGCTTAGCAATTGCCTCGTTTAACGATGTATTCGCTTAGCGATGAGGTTTTTGGAGCGATTTTACGCTCCATTTAGCGATGTTCCCTATGGGGAAATTTTGCATAGCGATGTTTGCGACCTTGCCTCGCTTAGCAATGACACTTTAGGTCCCCTGTTTCGCTTAGCAATGTTCCGTATTCGCTATTTTTAAAGTGTCTTAAAATGTTTGAAACATGTTTTAAATGCTTGGGATCATTAGTGCACCTTGTAAAACCTTTGCAAACTTAATTTGGCTTTGTTCTGACTCTTCGTTAATTTTTGGTGAATTCCCCCCCCCATTGGAATGCATTGAACTCTAGGTTTGACAGCTGGGAATAAAAATGTCAGAATACATATATGTTGGCTTGCAGTGTTACTAAAAACTGTGTTTTACCTGGCCAAGCAATAAACCTGTAATTCATTGGATAATCAGTTGTTGTTGTTTAGTCGTTAAGTCGTGTCCGACTCTTCGTGACCCCATGGATCAGAGCATGCCAGGCCCTCCTGTCTTCCACTACCTCCCGGAGTTTCGTCAAATTCATGTTGGTCGCTTCAATGACACTGCCCAACTATCTCGTCCTCTGTCGTCCCCTTCTCCTCTTGCCCTCACACTTTCCCAACATCAGGGTCTTTTCCAGGGAGTCTTCTCTTCTCATGAGATGGCCAAAGTATTGGAGCCTCAGCTTCAGGATTTCTTCTCTGCTATTTGTAAGGCCTCATTGGACAGCCAAGAGACTGATCTTTCCCAATCCTCTGGCCACTGCTAAGTTTTCCAAACTTGCTGGCATATTGAGTGTAGCATCTTAACAGTGTCATGTTTTAAGATTTTGAACAGTTTCACTGGAATGCCATCACCTCCAGTGGCCTTGTTAGCCATGCTTTCTAAGGCCCACTTGACTTCACTCTCCACGATGTCTGGCTCAAGGTCAGCAACCACACTATCTGGGTTGTCCGGGACACCCAGATCTTTCTGATATAATTCTTCTGTGTATTCTTGCCACCTCTTCTTGATGTCTTCTGCTTCCCTTAGGTCCCTACCATTTCTTGTCCTTTATCATGTCCATCTTTGCACAAAATATTCCTTTAATATCTCCAATTTTCTTGAACAGATCTCTGGTTTTACCCTTTCTTTTATTTTCCTCTATATCTTTGCATTGTTCATTTAAGAAGGCCCTCTTGTCTCTCCTTACTATTCTTTGGAAGTCTGCATTCTATTTTCTGTAACTTTCCCTATGTCCCTAATCAGTATTGAGTTCTCAAGCCCAGGAAATTCCAGATTCTCCCATTTCCTCTCATAATTTACCACATGCTGAACCTGGTGCCACCTAGTGATATTCTTGGGAGGAGAAAACTAATAAATCACATTAATGAAAACCATTACAATTAATTTAAAAGCATTCAACATTAACTGAACTGAGTATATATACTGGATTATGTAAAAAAAAAAAACCTGGCTAGTATTCACACATTGAGTACTTTTTCGTGATATCAAGTAGGCTGGAATGTTTCAAGAGACAAAATATCTGGGAACAACACTTTTTGCTGACATAAATCTCAATGGGACCTTCACAGAAACTGGGATTCTAGCTGACAAGCTATCTGAATAAATGGGTGAAAGGCTAAGAGAATATTACAAAGAGAGATATCACAAGGCTTCTCAATCCCCATTTTCTCTGGTGGCACCATTCACACTGGAGCAGAGGGGTAATTTCGAGGTATATTTGCCACAGGTTGTCTCCTCCCCACCACCACCACCTCCGATGCTACATCACTTGACACCAGAAATTAAATTTTTTTAGCAGTCTTCCAGCTAGGAATCTCAAGAAGGGTTGCCATGGCAGAGCAACAGCATTTTAAAGACTAATCGGAGCTTTGAGAAGTTACTGCATTTCTGGCCAGAGATGACTCCCGCAATCTTGGCTTGTTTACATTTTAATTCCCCAACTCTGCCTTAGTTTTGGTAAGTTACTTTTATTTTGATAGTGGTCGTCTAGAAATTAACTTTTCCAAGCTCTGCATTTGTTTTAACTTACACTTTCAGAAACTAGAGTCCATATGTATAATGAAGTAGACTTCTGCTCGTGTAGGCTTTGTGAGTCTGAAGATTTCATCAGGTACTGTATATATGTTTTAAAGCTTATAAACTTGCTTAAAGAATGGGGGGAGGGGGGAGAAGAGGAAAGAAGTAATGTGTTTCAGGGTGCTGACCTCTGTGCCCAATACCACCCCTTCTAGTTGCTCTAAGGTTCTCTGGAACTGTAGAAAACACTTGCCTGTTTTTGCATGCAGGACATGGATTAGTTCTATGTTCATAATAACTTCATAATTAATATGTCTGCTCTTGAATCCAGGAAGCTGATCTGAGAGAAGCATTAGGAGTTCCCCATCCAATATTTCTGCACAGCAACTCCTGTCACCAAGACAGGAACTCAGGTTTAGCCATTCCTTAAATTTGCCACTTGCCTTCCCCTGCCACATACACCCCGTCAAAAGTTACCATTCATAAATCTCAGCCTCCTGGAACATTAACTATCAACCCCACCCATAATTTCGCGTCCTGAATGATGGGTGGGTGGGGACGAGCGCATCTCTACTACTGAGGTCGCTTCTCCCATTAGATCATGGTTGCCAGGGGACGTACCAATAGCTTACCTACTGGCTGTAAATTTCGGAGGAAAAAATGCAAAGGATCGGCTGCGATACGACGAGACCCTAGTAATGTATACCACGAAACCAGCCTTTAGACCAACCAATAGATCCTGAGGAAAAAATGCAAAGGATCGGCTGCCATACGACGAGACCCCAGTAATGTATACCGCGAAACCAGCCTTTAGATTACCAATAGATCATATTCTTTTGACACACACACAGAGAGAGAGAGAGAGAGAGAGGCAATACAAAGGGTCCTCTTCTTCGGGTGTGTATCTCAGCTGTTCTGTTCTCTCCCCCCCCCCCCCCCCGCTGCCGATGGTTGCTCGCCGCTCTACTGTGATATGGGGAGGTGACGTAAACGAGAGAGCGTTTGATCTGCGGCTCTCGGAAGCGTGACCCTGCTCATTCACACGTGCACAAGACGACAGGACGGGGCAGGATGGTCGCTGGGTCGAAGGAGATGTAGAGGAGACGCTTGGTGACTCAAAGCTGGCACCTAACATGTTAGATTTATTACTTGTAGTGTATGGCGGGGAAGGGGGCAGTGGAACGTGATAAGGCAACGGTGGTTCGGTACTTCTCTGCCCGAACAAAAAAAATAACCCGCTGTGTCCCGCACACGAGGGTAGCCCTTGTACTCGTTTGCATCTCCTCCGTGTAGCTAAAGCCCTGAAACTCCAGTTCAAACCCACGGACGGAGAGACCCACGGCTGCACTATACGGGTGCAGCCGTCAAGCGTTAGCCACGCACATCTGAACCGGCCCAAAGAGATGGCACCAAAACCGTTCACGTCTGAAGGCGGCCTCCCGTGACGGAGGCGTGAGAAGATGAGCAGCCCCGTCGCGCGCGGCTCCCGGTTTCGCATCTCGCCGGCGGGGAAGGAGCCGCAGGCGCGAAAGGGAGACGTCACTCGTTTCTAACGGGGAGCGAGCGAAGGGGGGGTGGCCAGGCAAAAGGCTGCGCCGGGGTCCTTGGACGGGGAGGGGCGTCAGCAGCAAGAGGTGGTGGTGGAGGAGGAGAAAGGCCGGAAAGGCCGCCCCTCCGCGCGCCCCCTCCCCAGTGGTGGCAGAGCCGGAGGGAGCGGAGGAGGAGGAGGAGGAGGAGGTCCGCCGGGTCCAATTCCAGCCTCCCCCGAGAGGGCTGGAGGAGGAGCAACTACCGCAGCGGCGGCAACTGGCCGCCCGCACATGCAGGAGGAGCTCGGGCGCCGCCTCCTCGGCACCTCCAGCAGGACCGGACCTGCCTTTCCTGTCCGGCTGGTTCTC